TGGCTAATCAACTCCATAAGGAGCCTCTTCGATGCCATCTTCCTCTTGAAGTAGATTGATGCTACCAGGAGCAGATGTGTCTCACTGTCATGAAAAATCCCAAGTTCTTAAAACATTTTAAATGCCATATTCTGTAGTCTTTGAAAGGTTTGAAGAATGCCTATCTATCTGAAATACATCTCTGTAATCTAGCAAATCTAACTAACATGACTATAAGCTTGTCTATTATAGATGATTATCTGTTAATCTATATTGCTTTATTATACATTACATTTTTAAATGAGCTGCACAAACACAATACCTTAATCAAAAGCAGAATTATATATACACAGTATAACAAAATTGGCCTTAAATCTGTATCAATAAACCAAGATCCATACCCATGCAAATCTCTATAGCATATCCCCTTTTAAATGTAAAGAAACATGTATAAACAATATTTTGAAATTTGGGCATAGTTCTCTAGACTTCCTGGTGATTATTGGGTGAAGTAATTTTTTGAGGGTGTTCAAGGTGATCTTTCAGAGGATCTTGGTCCATCAAACCACAATAGTCTGGAATTAACCCACAGGTTTTCATCCTTTGTGGAAACAAAAGCAGAACTTCTTTTCCAAAGGAACATATACTTAGATCCATATTTTGAAATCAAGATACCTTCAAAATATACGTATTGGCTTAGCTTAACTGTCCTCAGAATCAAATGTCTTTCTGCCATCAAAAAATTCAAAGAAAACACAATAGTATACATAATCCAGACTCTCTTTGCATATTCCATCTTTCTGTGACTTATTTTTATTTACTCATTTTAATCTATGACTGCCTGTTCTCTGTCTCTTTAAAGACTTTACCTTTTTTTCTAACTCTCTATACTCTTTTTCTTCTTTCTCCCAAACCTACATACATTTATCCAACACTGTGACTCATTTAGAGTTCTTTTATATCTGAATCTGTCCTATTGTGTATCTGTAATTCTTTTCTGTCCAAGAGTGCTTCTTCAACTGCTAAGCACTTCTTAAAAACTTAAGCTGCAGCATTACTAGGGTATATACAGTACTTTCTGCCTGCTTTGCACAATTCAACATGGTGGAAGTCTGTTCACCACTCTGCAAGCTGTGCACATTGCCCCAATTTTAGGCACACAGCAGGTCTATGTTGCCATTAAACAAGCTGTAGTACATTGCTCAAAAACCCCCATTTAAATGCTTGGTCTCCTGGAAAAAAAAAAAAAAACATAGGTTGTGCTGGCAGCATTGCCCAGAAAGCCAGCATTTCAAAACAGCATGGCTACTGCTGAATCAGGAAAATCTCTCTTAAAGGAGCTGTTGCATGCTGCCAACAAGCAACAAGAAGTTGTGTTCACCTCTGTATTTTTGTGTCTAAAATTCCTTTTCAAGCTCTCTCGGGTTTTTAAGTGGATTTTAGATGTCCCATGTGCTGCAAGGTTTTGCAGCTAAAGCTGAGTCAGGAAGCCTCTTTTAAATGAGAGCGCTTGCCTCTAGCAAGCAGAGCCCACCTGAAAAAGTGCTGCTATCAAGAAGCCATGCTTAACTCTATCCTTTTCTATCTAGAATAACTTCCCAAGCTCTCTCAGGCTTTTAAGTGGATTTGGTCAGCCCTACATTGGCACGCCATTCTGCTGACTGAGGTTTCTTTTCTTCCCAGTCCTTCAACCAAAGAAATACACCAAGTCTACATTAATTATAAACTGATTGGCCCAGTAGCTCAGGCATCTTATTTATTAATTCTTATAACTTATATCAGCCCATAATTCTTGTCTGTGTTAGCCACGTGGCTTGGTACCTTTTTCAGTGAAGCAGTCACATGTTGCTTGCTCTGTGTCTGGCTTCCTTTGTGTTTGGGTGATGACTGCGGACTGAATCTTTCCTTTTCCCAGAATTTTCACTACTCCACCTCTACTTCCTGCTTGGGTACTGGCCAATCAAGATTTATTTAAAATACACGTGACAGGGTACAGACTGTTGTCCCACAGCAAACCCCAGGGGCTTGCACAGTAACAACACTACCCCAAAGTTCTTAACAGCTTTCAGAGTTCTACCGTGTTGTGTAAAACATGATGAACATTAGCTTATCAGTCTATGGTTAGAGGTGCTAAAATAGACAAATTATTTTAAAAATTCTGTGCTTTTGTGTTTTAAAAACCCTTACCATCAGGATGCTGGAGGATTTAAGGATAGACATCCTTAAATGTGGAACTTAATGATGCAGTCAGAAGTATGTATGTGAATGACTACAATTGATAAACTACAATAATGGTATTTAACTTATATGCACTTTAAACATTTCTGTAGTTCTAAGCTTAATGTTTGAAAAGAGGTACATCCTGTAAACATGAGCTGATTCAGTTACCTAGGGATCAGAACAAAAGCTCTTGAAGGTCCCAAACGACGTGGGAATGGGAGATGACCCTTATGACTAGCAGTGCTGCCTCCCTGGTGAAGCTTTTGAGGACTTTCCCAGGATCACCCTGCTGTTGTCTCTGCAGAGATGAATCCGTGAGAGTATGAGCTGCAGGCTCTTCAGTCAAGCCAATGGGAACTCTGCCCACAGAGGTATGGGGCATTTGCTCTCATTCCTGCCCAGTATAGTCCAGGCCACAGCAGGGCACAAAGCAACCTGCCCACTGTAAATTGTGTCACACTGCCAGTGAGGTAGGGAAGCTGCTCCGTGCGGGCTCTCATGATTCACCTGAATAGGCCTCAACTGTTTGCCTGAATGGAGCCAACAGCTTGAAATGTGCTTCCGCCGGGACTGCCCTGACCTTGATCTCCCTTAGACTGTCTATTAATCGGCTGACTCCGGGTAGCAAGGTGTAATGGATTGCATGTCATCCTGTGGACTTCCAGGGCACCCACATGGCATGCTGCATTTTGTGTCTGGCTTCTCAAGGACTCGGCGAGGGTTGAAGTATGCAGGGGTGGAAGGGCTCCTGTCTTCCCCTGATGCATCATTAGCTGAAACAACACCACAGACATTGCTGTTGCTATGGAGGAAGGGAAGAGTCTGCAGGCCCTGCAGTCTCAGCAAGGCTCCTCTATTACTGAGCACTTGGTAATCTCCTCTGCCCACACTGCCCAGAACCCCCTTTGGGAAGCTTTGGCTGTTCTTTCACCCATTCTCTATTTTTATTGTTTAAGTTTCACAGAGAGTAATTAAAAGTGTGGGACTCGATTTTCCCCCACTGTTGATAAGTTTTAACAGTGAGGAAACTGGAAATCCTTCACAGGGCTAACACAGGTCAGAGCTGTCACAATTTCTGTGATCTTTTGGTTGCCAATCATTTATTATGTTATAATTACCATAACATTAACTCATGGCTCTGTGTTTCAATTATGATCTACATATATTTCATGTAATAATTATATTTGCTGATAACAAAGCAGTATTCATAGCTTGGATATCTTGCCCACAAGGCACTAAAGCCACAGAGTGGTGTCAAAATAGAAATTTAGCATCAATGCAAGCATGTTTTTTTTTACTCTGTCTTTCCTTTCACACTGACAGCTAAGTATTCATCGTTGAGGAGGGGCCACTATAAAATGTATTGCAGATGCTTCAGAATGCTCCTTACTTTATCATCTGTCTCTCAAAGTTTTGTCAGATGTAGAGTAAGGCTAAGTAAAGAAACAGCAGGGTCTTCTGCCGTTTTCTCATTATCTCTATATGTGTTTCCAGTCAACTATATGATATGTATTTGAGTGACCAAAACTTTTCAATCATGATCATAAGAAATACTTATTCTTCCTAGATGCTTCTGATGATGATTAAAATATAACACATGTTTACATCATGACAGTCTTATATCCTACCCCCTAGCAACAGTTAGATAATGATCAAAACTTATCAAATAAGTTGGGACACTTAGAAATTTAGAAAGCAATCATCGTACCCTAAGAGTTTCTAGTCAGTTCTTCACAGACACAGAAGCATCAGATACCCATGAGGTTTCCTTATTTTAAGGAGTGGCACTTTGAGTTTATTGACACTTGAGAGAAATGATTTGATTAGATCAATTTATTTTATGTTCACCTTTTACTCTTGGGAATACTATGTTTGAATGGGAGTTGTCCAGCTAGAGAGACAGTCAGCAAAATGCAAAGCCTGTACTTCTGTACAACTGCACCACAGCACAGGCTGCACCACTGCACAGGCTGCACCTCTGCACAGACTGCACATCCATCTGCACAGGCTTCACCTCTGCACAGACTGCACATCCATCTGCACAGGCTGTACATCCATCTGCACAGGCTGCACCACTGCACAGGCTGCACCACTGCACAGGCTGCACCACTGCACAGGCTGCACCTCTGCACAGGCTGCACATCCATCTGCACAGGCTGCACCTCTGCACAGACTGCAATTCTGCCAAGGCTGCACCTCTGCAAGACTGCACAACTGCACAGACTGCACCTCTGCACAGGCTGCAGTATCCACCAACCTCCATGGGGTTTGGGGCTCATGTGTTACTGGCTTTTGGCAAGTGTTCCCTAGAAAGCCGACAGCTGTGGTCCAGTCATGCATATCATGAGGAGAGGCTGCGTTGGCTGTGCAGATACAGTTCTAAGAGGAAACGATCTTGAGTCTTCACTGCTGTGTACAGAAGCATGAAATAGAATCCAGGGCTGCGCCCTCTGCTTTTCCCAGACTCTGAATTTCCTGTCCTTTTCCCAGACTTCAGTAGCAAAGAAGAATTTAATTTCCCGGTGCTGCAAACACTCTGGCCAGGCTCTTGGCAGCAAGCTGTATACTCTGATGAGTAGGTCACAGGGCTGTTGTCAAGAAGAGAGGACACCATCCTTTTCAACATAAAGCTAAATTTTCTAAGTTTCTGTCTCCTCCTGGAAATGTTCATTTTTCCAACCTCACTGCATGTTCCCGTGGAGTTTGTTGTGTGTCTTGCCTCTGACAGGCTTTGATAGAGGGTCTCTGGGTTCATTTTGGACCAGCACTGACTGGGCACTCTCTCTGCTTTCTCCCAGCAGGTAAACCCACCTACAACAGCTTCTATGTCTACTGCAAAGGCCCCTGCCACAGGGTCCAGCCTGGGAAGCTCCGAGTTCAGTGCGGCACCTGCAGACAAGCCACCCTGACCTTGGCCCAGGTAAGGAGGCAAGGGCAGTGTCCTCGGACGGCTGCTCTTGCCTAGATTAATAAACGTGTCTCTGTGGAGCCACCTCTCCCTGTTTCTGTTCGAGCATCACCACATGGAAATAAGATGTTCTTCTGAGAGGTTGTGGCTGCTGATGGCATTCAAATTTCATGTCAAATATAGCCTTCCCCTGGGCTTTGTTCTGCTCTGTAAATTCAGCTGCTACATAGCACAGCAGTATCTCCCTGACACACACACAACACACATACACACACATGCACATACATGTATATACACACATACACACACAAACACCCCCCCCACACACACACACACACAAAACCTACATCTTCTTTTTTTCAACTCAGGTTTGTGTAGAGCCTAGTTATAAAAGTAGTGGCCTCACAACGTGAAGGGTTATTTTGTAGAAGAGACTCTGAAGGGATTTGAGTACTGGAAATGTGCTGCGTTCAGACTTGTGTGGTGCAAGCTGGGCTACACATGTAGAATACACTAGTGCTCCACCTGGGAACAGTGTGCTGAGGTTGATCGATTAAGCGACAACTTTCCGCTAATAGAAGTAAGAGTGAGGGCGGTTGTAGAGGCCCCCCCCCCCCCCCCGCATCCGCACTGAGAGCAGTGGTACCAAAGGGAGAACTGCCACACCTGCCCACCTTCCTGCATCCTGGCCCAGAGTCGTTCTCACGTTTTCAAATCACTGGGGAAGAAAAATAAAAGGATGAGCGCCACTGTGTGACCCAGACCGTTCTCCGACACTTCAATTCCCCTGTTCATGAAGTTTGGTGAAGCCCGGGCCACCTCCTCCGTGCCTGTTGTCTATGGCTGTGTGCATGGGCACAGGCAGGTTCGCTGCTGGAGCCTAGTATTCATTTGAGAAAACGGCTCTCAGCCTTTGATATGAAATATCAGAGCAGCCGCTGAAAGGCTTCCATGTGACGTGTGAAGTCCTGAGTGAATGTGTGCTTTTGACATGCTGGCCTTGTCAAGGACTCCAGTGCCTCTGACCTGCTAGACAATGGCAAAGCCTTCCTGTTCACGGTGAGGCTCAGAAGGACAGTAGTCTCTTTCTGGTCCATGTAGATATGTTGATAGTGTATACAGAAGATGTCTACAACTGCTTTCTCCGCCCCTGGATATTTACAGCCTGAGGACGGCTCCCCTACAGAGACTGCTCCTGCCAAGACTACACCTGTTACCTCGATCTGCTGTGCGCCACTGCCCTGCCCACTTATCTATCTGTATGTAATTACCTCCACATTTAGCTGTATGCAATGCCTCCCCTCCTCTGTTCAATGTATGTGATAAACACCCTGGGCTTCCAGGCTCCTGATACCTCCCTGTCAGAGATTTCAGTCCACCCAATCTCAGCCTGTCTACGTGTCCCCCCGAGTTCGTCATTTCTTTATTCCCTCCCCACCCACGGCTGGTCTCCCTGAGTTTGTATTTTCTTTATTCCCTCCCCCACCCCAGGCTGGTCTCCCCAGGAGCTGTGGCGGTCATTGCAGCAGACTAATACTGATGAGGCACAGGGCAGTAGCATTTGGAACATCTGATTATCACAGCTGTGAGAGCACAGGCAGAGAAGCCCAAAGTCCAAGGGGATAAGTACCCCAAGTACCAGATGGAGACCCCAGTGATGAGGGCTGCTCAGAGTTCACTGTCAGGTGAGAGGAAGTCAGGGAAAGTCCTGATCAACGAGAATTTGGGGATTTGTTTAAGATCTTGAGAACATACTGCATAAAGGAGAAACCGTGGGTCTGTTTCCTCAAACCTGTGATTCAGTGTTTACCTAGGTTACAGTATTTATAACTAAATGAAATCCACTGAGAAGCCATATTTGATCTGAAGCTATTGCAGTAGGCCTTCTCTAGCAGGCTCACTGAACAGGACCTGCCTCAGAGTAGGCTGTTTGGGTCCAGTGGGAGTGTTCTTCTACCTTCTTCTCTCCTTTGCTGTACTTAAGTCAACACGTGGCCTCTGTCTGTCCTCAACCTGATGGCTCCCAGTGGTGAAAGTGTCCTTACTTCCTGGTGTGTCTTTAATGCAAGCGGCAAGAGCGATTGACCTCTCTTCGTGTATTGCATCATTTATTTCATAGCAGTACTCTAAGTGTTATCAGTAACCCCATGTTTGATTTGAGAAAGTTGAGTCTTAAAGGGATCCAGGAATTTACCCAGGAAAACCAGAGTTTGGGCACTGGGAGTGTGAACCCAGACTGTGTTGTTTAGATTAAGTTCTGAGGACAGTTTGCTGTTTCTCCACATACAAATGTATACACACCTAAGGATTGCACACACAACACAGAACTCAGGCTGGTGATAAGATGTTAAGTTAGGTCTGGGATGGCAGGGGAGGGAAAGATGCTGGGGCACGGAGAGGCTCAGACTGTAACACTGGCTAATAGATGGCAAGCTATGGGATAAAACTCACTGTGGCTGAATGTTTTGTTTTGATTTTAATCAAGATAGTCATAAGTATATAATTTTATATGAAATTTGTCATTTGAAAAATGTGCTTGATGGAGGACAAATAGAGAACAAAAATAAAGCCCCAGCAGAAAAATAGCAAAACCTTGCGGCTTCTGTCTCCATGTATCCCAGCAAAGATGAGCATGGTAGGCACTACATGGTAGGTTGATGTTAGATGCTGATGATGACCGGAGCCTGGATGAGATGAGGACCCACTCAGAGTCAGAGAGGCACTGTAGCGTCTGGTTGAAAAGTGGTTGTGGAATCAGAGTGTCCCTGGAGCACAGCCAGTTCCCTGTGTCCTGGCTTTGTCAGTTTGGGGACAGTCCTTCACTGACATGACAGAATGTATCTTTGGTTGATAGGGAGATTATGTCAATATAAAGAATGCTTAAGACAGTATTCGGGACACATCTAAAAATGTCAGCCTCGTTCTTGCCATCATTCGGTCACCATCCACATCCATATTTATTTACTTGTGTATATGTGTCTTTGTGAGCTAGTGTGAAAAATCTAGGTGTTGGCGGGTTCCTTTCAGAGAACAGATGCTCTCTCTACCTCATTGGATCAGAGGCAGCTAGGATTTCACCTTTGAGGAGCTTCACCTTCCTCTAAGAGGAAGTCCCAGCCTCTGATTTCCAGGACCTTCCCTGGAGCCATGTGTGTCAGTGCAGAGGTCACACTGTGCCCCATCTCACCTGCTGGCCCCAGGACTGCCTGAGCTGTCCTCTGTGCTCGCCTCTGCTCCAGTTCTCCTGCTGTGCACCATTCCCTCCGCGTGCTGTCCGTGGTCGGACAGCCTGTCCCTGTTCCTCACTTTATCCCCATCAGCGCACTCTCTCTTACCTGTACACCACAAAGCAGTTCATGCTGAATGCCAGTTCTGTTTCTGAGCTTTCAAATTGACTTCGTAGAGCCACACCCTTTTGAAAGCCTGTCTGGCATTTTAGAATTCTATTACCTTATTAATGATGTGTTGGCAACAGTTTGGTAGTTTTCCTTCTTGGGTTCCTTATCTATATTTTTCTCTGATTTTTATGACACATTTACAAAGTGGTAAGTGTCTAACCAAGAGAGTCCAGTGTTGTTCCTCTTCACCTGTCTTTCAGACGTAGTGGAACTGGTCCACAAAGAGGAGAGCCGATGCTTTGGTCTGTCGTTGAAACGACAGTTCTCACAGGACAGCTACGCACTCAGTGGCAGGCGGTGGAACTGCTGCTTATCCTGCAGGTCAGGAAGGGTGATTTCTGTATAAATACTAGTCACCTGTTCCATTTCATTTTCCAGTTCTTCGTAAAATTCAACAGCTTATGCAATGTTCTCTGTTTATGAAAATTTGAGAATATGAGATCATAAGTAGGTGACTAATTGCGATCAATTAGTGTGTGCGGTTCATTGAAGAATATCTTCAAAAGTATTCTTGAAGGTGAAAAAAATAGAATCATCTTAGCTAACTGAGTTACTTTTGAACATATGTGTTCATTTCTCTTGTCTAGAGAACCCTGTCTGCAGAGTGGTGGCCTGTAGCATGTCTTTGTGGTCACCTCTACATGTTTTGTCGTGATTAGATATTCAGTAATGGTGCCAGTTCTCCTCAACTCTACGGACACTGGGCATGTGGCAGCAAAGGGTCGTTCACAGATTGGCTTAAACCACACTTCACCTTTCATGTGCTGCCCCTAATAAACTGGCAAGGAAGATGCACATTAGCCATCTCTGCCCTAAGGGCAAATTGGAGTCTGAGGTTGTGACATGACCTTGCAAGTGAGTTGAGAATCAGCTCACACACCAGGTTCTCTACCATTTCCAAAACAAAATATCCATTTCATTTCACGGTGACCTTGCCCAGGGTTTCAACTAGATGGAGATCATCTTTAGAAGTGTGAGTGCTCGCTGGAAAGCAGTGAGCACAGCCGATTGAAAACACATGGCAGGCATTCAATTTCTCAACCACGGCTTCAAAGATTACCCACTTGGGGCCATGCCGGAATGAGATAGGGCGAGCACAGCAGGAGTCGCTCTGTGCATTGCTATTGTTTCTGGTTGTAGTTTTGAGCAGTTAAATGGGTAATTTAAAATGACTCATGCCACTGTTTCAACAATTTTCCTAGGACCTGCTCTTGCCATCCAAAGCAGTCTCAGAGACCTTTAACGCTCTGGCTGAACCGGGGACTTTAGTTAGAGTAGCTGCTGATAGGGAGGGCTCTTTTGCTCTAAGGGATCCCCTCGACTCCCTGCAGACTGTCAGTCTCTAATCTAATCTAATGACACCGCTTTCCATTGAGGGTGAAGTATCACTTCCACCCCCATTCCCCCATCATCACTCTCAGCACTGCCCACATCCTAGGGGATGTCAGTTTCCTCAAGAAGAAGACTAAGTACTTCGTTGTATGGCGGGAAGAAATTGACTCATCTAATTGGAAATAAGCTTCAAATATACAGAAGGTATTTAGAGAGTCAAGTCATTGTCTCCAGTAGCACTTGGAGGACAGAGCAGATGCAGCCAAGAGTCAGGAGAACGTA